CCGTGGTAGATATTTACCCGACCTGTCAAGAAATAAGAAGAAAAGGGCTTGAAAATTAAATTAAATAACATACAAACTAAAAGATATAAAAAATATCTTCCAAGTCGTACTAATTAAAAAAAAAGAAACACCCATACACCTTATATTGTTGAATAACAAAAATAATAACTAAAGATCTATTTATAATAATAACTAAAGATCTATTTATAATAATAACTAAAGATCTATTTATAATAATAACTAAAGATCTATTTATTAATAGTTATTACATTCTTACATTATTTATTACAATGATTTTTATTTACAGCTAAATTCAAAATTTAAAGACCACCTTAAAAGTTTCACCAAAATGTTATCAGATTCATATAATATAAAAAGTAAATACAATACTTTTATTAATATACTTTTTACTATATATAACAATGTATAAGTCTTGACAACATTTTGGTGAAATGTTTAGGGTGCTTACAAATTTTAAATTTAACTATAACAACTAATGTATTCAAGTTTTAGATATTAAAGAAACTAGCTGCAATTCTTCATCTTTTCTTTCTTGTATTCTTTTACAATTTACAATTTGTTGAAGTCTTTCAAAATTAAATAGTCTGAAAACAATATCATTAAGAAAATGGACTTGAGATGTCACTACAAAAGAAAGCCTGGCAAAAAATTCTTTGCTGCCGATATCTATTTTAACTTTCGATAGTATAAGGCCTTGACTTTTGTGCACTGTAATAGCCTATATGAAACAAATAGGAATCTGCAAACGTGAACATATTATTTCAGATTTGCACTTTCATTTACATTGGATTGGTACAATCAGGATAACTTTTGTGTCATTTACTGTACTTATAGTAGGTTCTGTATAATTATCAAATATGATAAAAACTACTATGAGAAGTGAAGATAGACTTTGATCTTCTTCAAACAAAATGTCTTGAATAGTTCTCATTGAACCATTAACTAATCTAGCTTCTGTTCATAGGTTTGCAGTTAGCATAATATGTGCACCTCTGCATAATAATAATTCTACTTCAAAACCTCCTGCCTCGTCTGAATCTGCATTTTTGGCTTCTTTACCACCTCTAGTGCTCGGCATAATCAAATAATTATTTGATAGTCAAATACTTAGTAAATATTTGACGATCACCAATTTCCAAATCAAGTAATGCATAATCTCGATCTAATAAGCTTTGCATATCAAAATCGATACGTATAAGCTTATTGTA